GTGCCCCCCTGTAGCCCCCCGCGCCCCGCACCAGGTCCAGGCTGGTTCTCTCCAGCACATCCACCAGCTTCTCCAGCCGCGTGCGGGGTGTGAAGATGAAGTCATCGTCCACCCACAGCACGTACTTGGTTGTCACCTGCGACACCGCCAGGTTCCTCCCGGCGAACCAGCCCTGCGGGGGCAGTGTGGACCCTCAGCCACCGCACCGACACCCCACGGGTGCCTCCCCTGAGCCCCGTGGCCCTGACAGACCCCCGTGTCCCCCACCCCTGGGGACCAACAGCTCTTCCAGGCCTGGTGTCCCCCCTTCCCTGGGATCCCACAGCCCTGACAGACCCCCCCTGTCCCCCACCCTCCGGAGACCTCGAGCCCTGCCAACCCCCCATGAGCTCCCCGGCTTCCTGCCACCTCTCTCGGGGGTCCCACTGCTCTGACAGGGTTTGCATATCCCCCTTCCCCCAGGGACCCCTGCCCTGCCAGCCCCCCTCCCACACCATGTCCCCCCCCAGAGAACCACAGCCTCATCAGAACCCCAGTGCCTGCCCTCCCTCTCTGGGGTCCCACCGCGCTGCCAGACCCTTTTTGGGGACCTCAGCTCCTGTCAGCCCCTCCCAGGTCCTACATATCCCACAGCCCCGTGGCTCTGCCAGGCCCCCCGGAGCCCCGACACCCCCCCGTGTCCCCCTCAGCAGCCCCACCTTGCCGAAGGGCATGAGGTAGTGCTCCAGGTGGGGCCCGGACAGGGGCTCGGGGCGCTGGCTGTCGTCGGCCACCACGATGGTGACGGAGGGGTAGAAGCGGCGGATGCTGGCGATGAGCCCCCGCAGTTTGTCATAGCGCAGGAACGTCTTGGTGGCCACCGTCACCAGGGCCGAGATGTTGTACCCTGGGGGGTGAGGGGAGGCACTGGGAACCTGCACTCAGAGCACTGGGAGCTCTGGGATCCCACACTGGGAGTGCTGGGAGCACTGGGAGCCCACACTGGGAGCACTGGGAGCTCTGGGATCCTGCACTGGGAGGCTGCACTGGGAGTGCTGGGAGCACTGGGTGATCTGGGAGCCCACACTGGGAGCACTGGAAGCTCTGGGATCCCACACTGGGAGTTCTGGGAGCCCGCACTGGGAGTGCTGGGAGCACTGGGAGCCCACACTGGGAGTGCTGGGAGCAGTGGGGGCACGCTGGGGACGCTGGGTACCCTGAGTACTTCCATACTGGGAGCACTGGGAACCCATTCTGAGAACCCACTCTAGGAGTGCTGGACACTTCAGTTCCGGTCACCTGAGCACTGGGAACCCATGCCGGGAGCACCAGTCACCCCAGTACTGGGAGGACTGGGCAGTACTGGGAGCACTGGGACACTCACTGGGAGCACTGAGCACCCACATCGGGAGGACTGGGCTCCCACACTGGAAGGACTGGGACAGTCACCGGGAGCACTGGGAGGGCTGGGTCACTGGTACCGGCAGAACCAGCTGGCTCCAGCACTGGGAGCACTGGGATTCTGGCACTGAGGGCACTGGGAGCACTGGGATTCTGGCACTGAGGGCACTGGGAGCACTGGGAGTCTGATGCTGGGAGCACTGAACACCCACACTGGGAGCACTGGGAGCAGGGATGGGAACACTGGGAGCACTGGGAGCAGGGATGGGAACACTGGGAGCACTGGCAGGGCTGGTTCGGGGTGCAGGGCCCCGTGCTCACCCCCGTCCCCGCTGCTGTCGCTGTCGCCGTCGCTGTCGCCGGGGGTCCCCGGGCCGTACAGGCGGGGGGTGGGCGGGTGCCGGATGCGGATGGCGAAGGCGGCGGAGTGGCCGTCGGTGGAGAACTGCACTGCAGGGCGAGGGGGGGCTGGGGGCGCGGGGAGGAACAACGGGGGGCCGGGGGGAGGCTGGAATCCCCCGGGGGCCACTGGAGGACACCGGGAACAACGGGGACATCGGGGACAATGCGGGCATTGGGGATCCGGGGGGGAGCTGGGGACCCAGGGCACCCAGGGAGGTTTGGGGGTCCGGGGAGCCGCTGGGGGTCCCAGGGGTGCTGGAGCTCCCAGGGGTAACCCGGGGGGACAGCGGGGTTCCCGGGACATTTGGGGGGTGCCGGGGGTCCCGGAATCAGCTCCCCCCGTACCCACCGATGTCGGCGGTGTCGGGGTGGAACTGGGTGTTGGTGTAGGTGACGAACTGCAGCTGCCGGTTCAGGTGGTCCAGGTGGGCGGCGGCCAAGGACAGGTGAGGCTGCCCTTCCCCCCGTAGCGCCACGCCCTCCACCTCGGCCGCCACCGCCAGCGTTCCCAGCGAGGCCGTCAGGTTCACCTGGGGGCGGCACGTCACGGGGGGCCCGGGGGGGGCGCGGCGGGGACCCCCCAGACCGGGGAGGCTGCACACGGGGGGGGAGGGAGCGCGCCGAGCTCTCCCCGGCCCGGTCATCCCCAATGCCCCGCCCACCCGGCAAACCCCGCCCACAAACCGGACAGGCCACGCCCATAAACCGGACAGGCCACGCCCATGTCCGACACCCCCCGCCCATTCCGCTCGAGTCACGCCCCCTCCCCAGCCCCTCCCTCGCCCCGCCCTCGCCCTCACCTGGTACCTGTTCCTGGCCGGCGCCTGCAGGCTGAGCCCTGGGGGCCGCGACACGGGGGTGAGGCCCAGAGACCCCCGGAGGGACCCCCGGAGGGACCCCCGGAGGGACCCCCTGCCCTCCCTCCCCCTCAGAGACACCCGGGGATACCCCCTGCCCCCCATCCCCGTATTCCCCACAGGTGCCGCCCCTTGATCCTGCACCTCCCCCCGGTGCCCCGCACCCCCGTTCCCCCCATTCTGTGCCCTCCCCTATTCCCCCCATTTCTGTTCTCCTCCTTGAGCCGGTGCCCCCCACCCCCGTGCCCCACCCGCGCCCCCGGCCCCGCGCTCCCCCCCGCGCCCCCTCACCGGGCACCAGCACCGTCTGCAGCGGCCGCACCTCTACCCCCTGCGCCGGGTACTCCAGAGGGGAGTTGGCCGGGACGATGAGCAGGCGGTCGGCGGGGGTCTGCACCCTGCGGGGGGGGGCACCGGGGGTTCAGCCGGGGGTCCCTGGGGAGTCCCACCCTGCTCCGGGACTGCTCGGTCCGGGGCACACACCCCGCACCCCACGAGGGTCCCAACCCCCCCCCTCCAGTGCGGAGCCCGGGGTCTCATCCTGCCCCGAGGTGCCCTGGGGGTCTCCCCCGCACCAGAGCCAGGAGCTGCGCTGCCCCCAGCCCCGGGGGTCCCTCCCGCCCCCCTGCACTCACCGGTTCCGGTAATTGCGGTACTCGCGCTCCCGCAGCCGCAGCTGCCGCGGCCGCTCCCCGGGGGCGAAGGCGCTGGCGAAGTCGAGCCCCCCCGGGCCGGGCCCGAAGAGCCGCCGCCGTAGCGGCAGCGCCAGCCCCGCCTCCGCCTCCGCCTCGCACGAGCACCCGTTCCTGGGCAGCAGCCTGTCGCGACAGGGCCTCTGTCACCGACAGCAGCGGCACCGTGACCTGCGGCTGGGCACGGGGACCCGCGAGACCGCCCCGACACCTCCCGTCACTGCCTGTCCCCACCCCGGCACCGCCGCGGGCACCTGCAGACAGCCCCTGCTGCCACCCAGCACAGCCCCGACCCCACCTGGCAGCACCTTTGTCACCCGTCTGCCACCGCCCCTCCCCGGGTGTCCCCAACACCCCACCCTGGGGTGCCCCCACAGCCCCGTCCTGGAGTGCCCTCAGCCCCGAGTAACCCCATTCCTGGGTACCCCCACCCTGTCCTGCCCCAGCCCCGACCCGTGGGTGTCCCCCTGAAGATATCCCCACCTTTGGGTACCCCCACCCCACAGGTGCCACCCCCACGGTGCCAGCCACCCACCCCCATCCCGCGGGTACCCCCCCATCCCCCGGGTACCCCCATCCCGCGGGTACCCCCCATCCCCCGGGTACCCCCCATCCCGCGGGTACCCCCTGCCCTGTCCTTACTCCATGACTTCCTCCTTGAGGCGGAAGGGCACGTGAGGGTAGGCGCGGGCGGGGGGGGGCAGAGGGGGTGGGAGCCTCTCGGGGGGGGGGCGGCGCAGGTCCACACTGGGGGGGCCCTTGGGTGCCCAGAGGTGCAGGTAGAGCGCGGCCAGCGAGGCCGAGGCCACCAGCAGCAGGCACAGCGCCCGCTGCGCCCCCCGCATCCTGCCTGGGGGGGGACATCGTCACCCCAGTGCCCCCCAGAACAACACAACACCTCCCAGTGGCACCAGTGCCCAGCGAGGCCAAGGCCAACGGCAGCAGTGCCCAGTGCTCCCAGTGTAACCCAGTGCTCCCAGTAAAACCCAGTGCTCCCAGTATAACCCAGCGCTCCCAGTAAAACCCAGTGCTCCCAGTATAACCCAATGTTCCCAGTGTTCCTTCCCAGTGTAACCCACTGTTCCCAGTGTTCTTTCCCAGTGTAACCCAGTGTTCCTAATGTAACCCACTGTTCCCAGTGTTCCTACCCAGTGGCTCCCAGTGTCCCTCCCGTGCCTCCGGCTGGCACCCAGCATCCCCAGTGCAAACCAGTGCCCACAGCACCTCCCAGTGACACCCAGTGCAAACCAGTGCCGCCAGTACAGCGCACCATCCCTTGATCGCTGCTCTGCCTTCCGGCGATTCCCAGCACTCCCGGCTCCCAGTTTCACCAGTGCAACCCAGAGTCCTGTCCAGTGCCCACCCCCGATCCTACGTTCTGCTGTGCTCGCTTGGCACCTCCTCCATCCCGCCCCCAGTGCTTCCAGCGCTCCCAGTGCTCCCGGTTCCGCCAGTGCTCCCAGCGCTCCCAGCGCTCCCAGTGTTCTCAGAGCTTCCAGCACTCCCAGTTCCCCCAGTGCTCCCAGCGCTCCCGTTGCCCTCACCTCGGGGTGGGCGCAGGTCCCAGCGAGGGGGGCTCAGCCGACACTCATGGCTCTGCCCCCCCACAGCACCGGCCTGGGGACACGGGGACAGTGTCAGGAGGGTCCCGCACCCACCCCCGGTATCCCCCGCCGTCCTGCGCCCCCGCCCCGGCTCCCCCAGACCCCCGGGATGTGGCTGCAGCCGGGGGACGCCCCAGACCTCCCCAGGGGCTCTCCCCCAGGGTGAGGGGCTCAGGCAAAGCGGGGCTCGGGGGAGACGTCACGTCGGGAGGGGCTGGGGGTGCTTGGGGGGCACGGGGGGGGGCAGGGAGGGGCCTGGGAGCTGCTGGGGGGAGGCTCGGGGGGCTGGGAGGGGCGGGAGGCGCGAGGATGCGGAGGGAGGGGGCCTGGGAGTGTCCGGGCGGCGGGGGGAGGGGGCGTAGGGATGGAAGATGCGGGGGATGCTGGGGGGGCCGGAGGGTTTCGGGGGGGCCCGGCGGCCCTGGGGGTGCCACGGGACGCGGGGAGTTGGGGATTCTGGGGGGAAAGGCGGCGATGTCGCAGCCGCGGGGCAGTGGCAGGTGCCATCCCTCGTCGCGACAGCCGCGACAAGAGCGGCCCCGGCCCTACCTGGCTCCGCTGGCGGGTCCCGGCGCTCCGCGGCCGCAAGCGGCACCGGCACCGGAGCGGGCGGCGAGGGCGCCCCCGGCGGCCCCGGTGTGGAACGGCACCGCCGCAGCCCCGGGAGGGGCGGGGCGAGGCTGCGGGGGGGAAGGCGGGGGGGGGGGGGCGAAAAGCGGGGGGGGGCAGGGGGGGGGCGCCCCCGGGGGCGC